GCTGGACTCGAACCGCTGAAGCGTTGACCATTTCTGGCCAGCAACTTTCAGCGTCATTAAGCCGCTGCGCCAATCATAGTGAAGTATAAATCTGAGCTTCTTTCAACTTTGGTCCCTGGTCCCTAGTATTTGAAAGCCTATGAGATGAGTCCAGGAAAGTGACTCATCTCAAAGGTAAACTTTGATGTGAGTACTTCCTTTCTTAAACATACACCCAATTGTTTATTGTACATATGAACCCCTTAATTCTGGTTCACCCCAAAATTATGAAATCAGCGTGTTTCTTTTGCATTAACTTGGATAAAAATCAGCAAATACTTTATTATTATTACTAATTTAAATTTATTGGCCACCCAACTCCAGTGGACTCTTGTTTGTACTTGGCTAGACTTTTGTTCATCAGAGGCAGCTTCACAAAAGCAGAGAGGGATGGGGAAGTTAGTATATTGCCAGTACTAAGAATATTGCTGGATTAAGGCTATGGACCTGCATTCTGCTCTCTGAGAAAGGTAATGTTTCCCACCATCAGTATCTAGGATGCATAATTACAGTGCCACTAAATCTGGAGGTTTCATTTAGCTACCATAACTAATAACCATTCACAGATGTATTCTCTATGAATTTATCTAATTCTTTTAACATCTAGTAAACTGGAGCATGTCTCATTAGAGGGTAGCATTTAACTGAACTTCTCTGGGCTCAGAAGGTTAAGCAGGGCTGAGCTTGGTTAGTGCTTGGATGGGAGACCTCTAGGAAAATCAGGACTGTCAACTAGACCAGGATAAAACATCCCAGAAGTAGGCAATGACAAACCATTTCTGTAGTACTGCCAAGAAAACTGCAAGGATGTGTCCATGAAGTCACCAGGGCTTGAGCTCAAATTGAAGAAAAGTAATGACTAAGCTAGAGGATATAATATCTTGCCTAGGGCTGCCAAATGGCACAAATGACTTGTATACCACATGGGCATATCCTTTCTTTTGTCCATCATGAACCTACTGCCAATTAGTTTTGCTCTAAGGACAGAATTTTAATATTATAAGGAAGGAGGGAAGAGGAAATTTTCTCCTTGCCTATGTATTTCAAACCATAATAAACCTCAATGACAATCATATATGCCAAGCCATATATGTCACCAAACTAAGAAGCCCTAAATGCATTCTTGCTGTGAAGATGTTGCAACAATCTGATAATTTTGGCTGCATCTTATATATCTTGTCAAACTATACAAGATGGTTTTTAAAATGGAGTGACTCAGCCCTCAAAGTCCTTGCCTCTACAAATAGCAATTAGTTAGAAGCACCTCAGTTACCACAATTTGTGGGATGACAATTATACTTCACAGACTACCTTTTTGGGTCGGTAGATGCTCATACAACATGATGGCCATAACTGGCATGGCTAGTTACATATCACCTGTTCGCCACTTGCTTCCCCAGCATATACCACGTCCTTTAGTGCCTCAAGACAATCCCTACCATCTCAATTTAAGGGGTAGGGACATTCCACACAAAACAATGAGCTCCAAGTAATCACGGCTTTTCACAGAAGAATATGGGGCTCAAGTGCATTCTTAGAAATAAAGGTAAATTGGCCTATATTTTGCAGTTGCACTGACTTCCCATTTAATTTATTTTTAATTTTAAAAAGGATAACAAAAGAAAAAAAGTCTAGTAGTGAAGAGAATTTGGTAGGTGTACTAAGCAAAGTGCCCATAAACACCACATTGCCTATTTGCACTACATAATGCAAGATTCCAGCCATTAATCTTGGAAATAGGAAACACTGAAAATACAGGATTTCTCAATGGAAGATTCTGGCAGACTCTCCTTTGTGTAATTTCCCTCTAAAAATTTCTAAACCCATTTTGCCTCTGGCCCTCAGGTCTTACCTGTTAGTGTCTCTAGCCACATCCTCATAAATGCTTTGCACTCCAATCTCCAGCCTTGTGCATCCATAGGACAACATGTCACTCAAATGCCGTTTCAGGCAATAATCTGGCCTGGTCTCTATAGTAATCCCGATGCATTTTGTAAGGCTTCGCTCAGAGTACCTGCAGAAGGGAGAGTGAGGGGAAAAAGAACTGCAAGTGAGGTGGGTTAAGTTCAGCCAAGATTGTTCATGTTATGGTCCACAAGATACATCTAAGCTGGCATAGCTCATTACAATCACTGCCTTCAGAGAATATTTTAGCAAATCATTTTTATGACACCTATGACAATGCTGCATTCAGAAATGGCACTAAATCTCTGCAGTCAGCCACTGAGCTATTCTGTAAACTATGATCTTTTGCTGAAGGACAGTCTGGAGCTGATCTCACTTGCAATTATCCACTACATTGAAAAACATTATCAATGTGCTGTCTCATGTAATAGCTCTGGAGAAGGAGGACATTTGCTTGAATATTTTATCTTTTCAGGACGCTATTTGCTTCACACATGGTCCAATATGGACTAGTTTAAAGAAGTGTTAATTCTACTTCCAGTATAGAAAAAAAAAATGGCAATCTTTTTCCCTTGGATGAAAAGAAGCAGAGTACAACATCAGTGGGTTTCTGGTATTTACAAATGCAGGATTTTTGCAACTCTATGACAGACAAACCAAAACGTGAACTGTCTTGAGAATATTTGTGAAGCTCACCTAAGACATGTGTATGTCCACTATGCTTGAAAGAACCTCAGCCTTGAGTTCCGTGCACATCTGTGCATGGTAACTTAGTATTTGATGGGACTGATTTACAGATATATACAGATTGGCCACCTCATTTAAGGCTAGCACAAATTAAGAACTGGCTACTCCCAAATGAAAACTTGTGAGTCTCAGCAGTTAAATGTTTTTGGATTGCATTTTAGGGAAGTACTGATCTGGAATATTTCAGTGAGAAAATCAATCAACAGTAGTTATGTACCCATAGACATCCTCTTTTTTTCAGTTAAAAGAAAAAAACTACCATTATTTTATACTAGCTTTTGGGAGCAGTATTGCTTTGTTAAACATGTTATTTTGCTGCTAGTTCAGCTGGTTTGAGAATTGTGCCACAAACTACTACTTGGTAAAGTAGCAACAAAGGCCTTGGAAAAAAATATTCAGATGCTGTGTTATGTCTATACCTACAAAGATTAGAATGTGCAGGCAATGCTTTCCCCTGTGACATTCTATCAATCAAAAGTTTGAGTCTGAAGAAGCAAGATAGAAACAGCATTGACACTTTTGAACTTTGTTGTTAGAGAATACTCTTGAGAATACAACAAATAGCAAAGAAGACAAACAAATGGATCATAGAACAAATAAATCCAGAGTTCTCACTTGAAGCACAAGTGATCAGGCTCAAACTACTATATTTTGGACACATTATGTGAAGACCCAGCTCCCCTAAGAAGTCCATAATGCTGAGAAAGGTGTAAGGAAAGAGAAGGTGACCAGCAGTAACGTCAAGGTGGATAGACTTGACTTTAAAGTGGTAATGGGTGCTCAGTTGGGGGACCTGAGACTAGATTGGGGACAGATGGTCCTGAAGAAGGTCTATCTATGTGGCTAAGAATTGAGAATGATGTAGTGGTTGATATGTTTTGCATTGTATTTTATTACTTTCATTGGATTTTAGTCCTTTATCAATTTGAATCTACCTTGGGAAGAAAGGTAGAGACATAAACATAGAATACATCAGCCTTTCCCTAGCTACTGAATTCTAGATGCTGCTTCAAAACATCAAAAGGAGTCAACTGCTGATATCCACTGGAAGCAAAATCTAGATCCTGTTGGTGAGAATATAATTCTACTCTCTAGACAGCACTCAACTCACTCTCATGCCTCTGATCTGCAAACCCTCTCCTAGCTACTGTGAAACCTATGCTTTTACTTTCAGCCACATTCCATATTGCAAGGAAAAAGTAGATTCCAGATTACTGTTTTCAATGAATGAATGATGGAACACAAATCTTCCGCTGATGACCAATAATATAGTGCACTGTTGCAAAGCATAACCTGGCAAATGAAATCAGAAGGAAATATGACTTGATTCTAACCTAATCATTCCATTTTGAAGTTGTAGAAAAAGTATTTTAAAGAGGAAGAACACAATTAAATGTAAAAAGAGATAGAAACTATGTTATAAACTGCATTTCCTACTTACAGTCAGGGGATCAGTTGCTCACTGCCAAAACACTGCATTGCAGTAGCTATTTGTCATGGCTATACTATGCAGCAAGTTAAATCTAGGAGTTATACATTTATTTGCAACCATGAGGTTTTAGCAAAATTTTTATAAAATTGTAATTTTATATAAATTTTGCTAAAACCTATGGTTGCAAATAAATGTATATACACTAAAAATCTAGAAGTTAATTTACAGAAATGTATTTACTGAAGTGTTCAAATAGTGCTGCTAGATTAGAGGATTTTAATACACCTTGACATCATACTAATCCTATATTATTAATGCAATCTATATAGCTGTATATTGATTAATAACCACTATATCCTATTAAACCCAGACAAGTAATAGCCATTTTGAAGAAAACGGCTGAGCTCATTAGAGGGTTCACAGTGGAGGCAGGTCACCAGCATCCTCCCCTTGAATGGAACTTAGAAAAATACAGGCAAAACAGAGTTGCCTAATCCACAATTTACGCATGTTATGAAGTTTATTCATAGACCAGAGCGGCAAACAAGATCAGTCAGCAAGACAGTCCAGAAGCCAAGTCAGATTCCTACCAGTGACTTCAGAAGATGAGAAAGCAAGTGATGTGGTTTAGGAATCAGTCACAGTATAGGACACCATCAGGGAATCAATCAGGCCATTTAGGTTCAAAGAAGCTCAGGAATGACAAATGTTCCTTCCAGCACCGTACAATTCCTATGTAGGGAATTCTACGCTGAAAGTTGCCAATCCACCCATACCTCCCACCTGTGCCAAGCTAATTGGTTTTCACTGACCCTATTCTAAATAAGGAGCAAAAGGTATATCCAGCCAATACTGAGCGTATCTCTACACCAAAGCAGGGAACTGAGTAACAACAAGAACCTGCAAGAAGGATATTCAGTGACATAACATTATTGGAGGGAGAAGGAATATTCTCGGTCCTTCTGGAGTTGTTTTGGGGATGTTTTAAATATGGTCTGTTAACATGCCAATTTTGTTAGATGCAGGAGAGAGAGAGAGAGAGAATGAGGAAGAGAGAGAGAGTTGAATATTTGCACAACTGAAAATTGGTGGTTTTACCATCGAATGTCATTTGTGTGATCCAGAAGATGCCAAATGGGTGTTCAGACCATTATGTCTACTCCCACAATATTTTCCTCTATAATTGTTCATTTTGGCTTTTAATCTTTCTATACTCTAACCAGTGCTATTCTTGTGAGTTTAATGATGTATTATTGAGGCTGGATCCATGGTGGAGAGTCTTGAACGTCTGGGAGATAATTTTGACTTGGGCATCGTGCTGGGGCCCAGCTTGTCCATGATAGAGAACTTGGCAGGTTCACCTAACCCATCCTTCTAGGTGAAGTTATAACATCTAGCATCTTGAGAGATAATTATGAATCATTTCTTTATCATTTCCTCCAATACTGAACTGAAATAAGTGCCAGCAATGGAATCACAACCAAAGCACTGAGTAAATAAAGAGGGTTATCCTCAAGGCTTGTATAACTATAATCTTTGAAAAAAAGGCTTGGGGGGGTACCTTGTTTTGAGTTATTTAGTAGACGCAGGGCTCATCTGCACTTCTTGCTTGCTCCAATGCACAGATACCTCACTATCCATTGTCCTCATCCTGTTCTTGGCCCATCACAAACACAACCTCTACCTGTCTTTCCTCGCTCGGCTTCAGAAGTGTTCTTCCATTCCTGCCAGCATAAGCCATGCCAAGTGGCTTAGTCTTTGTCATAAAGTGGTCTGAATAAATGTAGGGGTGGGGACCTGTCCTGCTTTATTGGCTCCCTGAGGTTACTGTGGGTACATTCCCTCTGCCCCCTGACCCCAGCCACTGCAAAACAGGGTCATTTGCCCTTTGGCAGTGGGACAGTCAACATGTCTTTTGCTGTCAGTTTTCCCATCTCAATGGGATTGGAGAACTACCAGCAAAGGAGCCCCTGTCCCCTTGTTGTTGTTGTTGTTTAGTCATTAA